TAGACATGCTCCCCATCGTTTTCCCACATTTCAGCCCTACTGACACTGACCCTGGTCCCTCTGGTATTCTTGTTGCATGTCCGTATCTCCTCCAGGCTTCATTCGCCTACCCTTTTTAATGTTTTAGTCCCACATTACCCATTCTCTCCAGTCTCCCATCCCACCTCCGCACCTCCGTCCACTGCACTTCCTTTCCTGTCCCACAGCCCCTCTTTCTGTTCCCAGACAGACTATCCCTATGGAGAGCTCATCATCTCCCTGGGCTTCTTCCTCGTCTTCTTTTTGGAGTCGCTGGCATTGCAGTGCTGTCCTGGAGCCCACGGAGGATCAAAAGTGCAGGAGGAGGAAGTGGGTGGGGCTCATGTCCTTGGACTCCACAGCCATGGATCTCTACCCTCACCCTCACAGAGTCCCTTTCGAGCCCTCATCCTTTTGCTCTCTCTCTCCTTCCACTCGGTGTTTGAGGGTCTGGCTGTGGGGCTGCAGACAACAGTAGTAGCCACCGTGCAGCTCTGTCTTGCTGTCCTGGCTCACAAGGGGCTCATAGTGTTTGGTGTAGGGCTGCGGCTGGTGCAGGTAGGCACTGGGTCACGATGGGCCGTGTTCTGCATACTGTCATTTGCTCTCATGTCCCCCCTGGGTGTAGCCATAGGGCTGGCTGTGGCTGGAGGGGACTCAGAAGGAGGGCACGGCTTAGCCCAGGCTGTGTTAGAGGGTGTTGCAGCTGGTACCTTCCTGTATGTCACCTTCCTAGAAATTCTGCCCAGGGAGCTAGCTGGTCCTGAGGCCCCTCTGGTCAAGTGGGGCTGTGTAGCCGCTGGTTTTGCCTTCATGGCCTTAATTGCCTTGTGGGCCTGACAGATTCCTGACTTTTTGATGGACCCAGGAGACACCTCCCGAAAGGCTTTGGTCCTCAGACATTTCTCCACTGAGACTAAGTGGCATTCACTGGGCATCGTCCCCATGAACTGGATCCCAGCCTCTCCTACGTAAGATCCCATTGCTCATCCAGGACTGAGAAAGGGGCGTTTATTTTAGGTTGGGTGCCTGTACTTTGGAGAATTGATATAAAGACCATCACTGCAGATTTGACTCTTGTTCCATTTTTGCTACTGTCTGTAATAAATGTCCATTTTCCCCTCCCCCTTCAAGCATGCTCCGGGTTACCCAACTGCTGCCTAGTGGAGCAGGAAGCGGGGAGAGCATACTGTCATTTGCTCTCATGTCCCCCCTGGGTGTAGCCATAGGGCTGGCTGTGGCTGGAGGGGACTCAGAAGGAGGGCACGGCTTAGCCCAGGCTGTGTTAGAGGGTGTTGCAGCTGGTACCTTCCTGTATGTCACCTTCCTAGAAATTCTGCCCAGGGAGCTAGCTGCTCCTGAGGCTCCTCTGCTCAAGTGGGCCTGTGTAACCGTTGGTTTTGCCTTCATGGCCTTAATTGCCTTGTGGGCCTGAGAGATTCCTGACTTTTTGATGGACCCAGGAGATACCTCCCGAAAGGCTTTGGTCCTCAGACATTTCTCCACTGAGACTAAGTGGCATTCACTGGGCATCATCCCCATGAACTGGATCCCAGCCTCTCCTATGTGAGATCCCATTGCTCATCCAGGACTGAGAAAGGGGCGTTTATTTTAGGTTGGGTGCCTATACTTTGGAAAATTGATATAAAGACCATCACTGCAGATTTGACTCTTGTTCCATTTTTGCTACTGTCTGTAATAAATGTCCATTTTCCCCTCCCCCTTCAAGCATGCTCCGGGTTACCCAACTGCTGCCTAGTGGAGCAGGAAGCGGGGAGAGTGAGTGTTGGATGCAGTCTTTTCTTCTGGAATCAGAGCCGCTAGCCATTTTGTCAGTTGCAGCCATGTCCCCCAGACATGGGAGCACTGCTGAAATTCCAACAGCCCGCTCCCACCTTACCCACAGGTGTTGAAATACTGAGCCAGAGTTCCCAGCATTTAGAGAAGAGGTTTAAAAACAGAAACGCTGGGGATCTAGATTTTTTTCTACACTAACCACACCTACCCCACTCCCTGATAATAGATTATCAACCACCTACACATTCAAAAGACACTTCAGATCAGGCTCAATGGAGCCTACTTCACCTGGTTTCTATTTTTCATACTGAGTCCTGTGTGGCTTCAGGGACACGATTGCTCTTTGAGCCTCTGTCTCATTCCAGCCGCCTTGTGCTGCGGGATTAAGAAGCAGTGTGTTTGGAAAGAGAAAGGCGCCAGATAAATTCCAAGGGTGATTACTTGGCTCTGCCGAGACATGGTGGCTTTCCTTCTGCCTGCCCTGCCTGCCACTGTGCCTCTGGTCCCTCCCCAGTGGGCCATTTGCCTTTCGGGCGAGTAACCCCTACAATGTGCTGCTCCTCTTAAAAACTGCACAAGTAAAACAACTGGTTATCTGGAATTGAGGAGGAGCAGGACGGCTATGACCCAACGAGGTGGAGGAATGTCTCAGACTTGGTGGAGGGACAGGGAA